GGGGGGGGGGGTTCCTATAAAGATGATAATTGTGCCACATAGAGGAGGGCTGGAAGGGACCTCAAGAGGTCATCTAGACCAACCCTGACTGGTGTTATCCCTATCCAAACCTTTGTATATAAATCCATTGTGTAACCTCTTGGCAGAGTCAATCCTGACACAACATAAGGTAAAACAGGGGAACCAAAAGTGGCCAATATTCTGCTGCTTGCCTGATGCTAATACATTTCAGTGATTAAATGACCATCAATAAACTAAGAATACCTTAGTGCTGGATTATTTAAATAGAATTTTATGAGCCATAACCTGCCATTATTTCTTATGCAGAACTCCTGCTGAGTTCATCAAGATTGCTGTGCAAAGAAGGATGGTATACTGGAGATGGCCTTCTGTTTTCATTTTGTTCACTTGTACTTGCTTCCTAACCTTTAATTATAAATAGAATTGTCTTGAAGAAAACCAACCCAGCAAAGCAATGCTTCTAAAATTAGGAAGCAGTTTACAGTTATCTAATTAAGAATTCCATGTGCCACATAAAGAAAACATTTAAGAAAGTATTATTGGGTTTATAGCATAACGCACACAATCCATATCAGTCTCTTTGGAAATTCTATTACGTCCTTGGTAAATTGCCTTGCTAAGATAATGTTTCCTCCCTAATAAAATTATGAAATAGAGACCATGTAAAAAAATGTTTTCTAATAATTCTACATATGGCCTGGAACTTTATTTCAGACAAGGACCAGATTCTGCCATGACATATCCTAAAGCTTGCAAAGAACAGCGTTTTCAATTATTCAGTTGGTCTAATAAAAGATATCACGTTTAACCAAAGAACCTTGTCTGCTCATGCACACAGAGGGCTTAATGCAACTGCAATTGAAGATACAGTTGCACTTTAAATCAGACCTCCAGTTCAACAAGGTGAGTGCATTTATGAACATAATATTTAATGTTTTTAGTACTTGACAGATTTTATAAAAATATTACTAAAGATCTGTTGGCCTGTGAGTTTCCTTCAAATATGTCTTTCACTCTGCTGCATATTTATCATGCCATCACCTCTGTTCTCTTCTGGCATAGGAATGAAGCAGCATCTCATCACTCTTATTAAAGTATAGATTTTCTCACAGCAAGCCAGCACAGGGAAATTGCTGTTCTGTTATTCTGCACTCCAGGTACTACATCACTGCCTTAAGGCTGCTTAGCTAATAATTCCACAATGCAATACTCAAACAAAATAATTTGTTCACT